TTATGTCCTTTGCCCACTTTCCTGAGTAAGCCACACATGTGCTGTCTTGCATTCTTTAATGACCAACTCATTGCCAGCAATAGACAATTCATTCCTGTTAATGGTACAGTTCATAGTTCTACAATAGACTAAAAAAAATAAATCTTAACCAGATCATCTTCATCTTACAATGTAAAAATATTTTCAATATTTTTAACTCAAAGTCTGTGCATGCCACTGCACTTGATGTCAATTACGGAATTAGTGATGAATTGAAGAAGACACTCTAGGGAGGATAAGAAGAGGATTTACTGAAGGTTATTATATGACATACTGAATCTTGGGTAAGCTGAATAAGCAACGTGAAAGTTGTCTTTCAGGAATAACTCATAAAGATGCACCAAAGAAGCTGCTGTTTCTTCTATGATGAGGAAGCCGCCTACATGACTGGGAAGCTGCATCTACTTTTGCTAGTTCCAGAAACAGACAATACCTACGTGGAATAGCACCAAAAAAGTGAATGTTCTTCACTTACTTCTCAATATCTACAAAGCTAGTCATCAAATACTAAGGTCTCTGAGGAATATTTTTAACAATCAGACACCTTCACATCCACACTTACAGCAAAAACAGAAGTAACAGATTGCAGCCACCATCGCACGTCTGTTCCAGACTTCATACAAATAGACCTTATTGTTAAAACTTAAATCCCATTACTAACCCCATGTATAAAGAGATATCATTTTAGTTTTAAGTCACTAAAATCCAAGAAGTAAAACTAGAAGGAGTTTGGCACAAATATTGAGCATCATATCCTCATAACTATAATGAATAAGAACCTTCTTAACTTGACAAGGGTATCTATATTTTTAAAGTATATGTTATTTGTAATTGTACACTTTAAATCATTTCAGATAATGTTGGGATCAAGACCACTATGCCCCCATCATTATTTTCCATTGTATTGAAGACCCTCATCTGAGAAAAGAAATGGAAATAAAACAGAAGGTTTGATGAACAAGTTATAAAAATAATCCTACTTGCAAATTCTTTTTTATATAGCAGGTATTACCAGAACAATATCCAGTAAGAAACCACCCAAGATTCAGTAGCCTAAAGCTTATGTTTCTAGTTATAGTTGGCTACGATATGGCTAAGCCAGTGAGAGTTCAAAAGAAAGGGAGGAAAAGGCTATTGGAGGATGGAGGAAAGAGCATCCTACAGATGTGATGCTTAAAAGCTTTGCAATGTTGTTGCCCGTGAAAACACAGAAAATAGGAAATATACCTGATGAATTACATGACCTAAGCAGGTTCTACATAGAAGTTTTAAAGTGTTTCTAGCTTCTTCTCACTGCATTTAGTAGAAATCAGGAGACATGTTGGAGAAGGAATTACTAAATATTAAGGAATCAGAACTTGTATTTAAAAAATAAAAATACTTCTCATTTATAACCTCTACAGATAACAAACTGTGCTGCTGCTAAGAAACATATGGATTCCTGGATGCGTCAAATTCAGAGCACCGTAGGGAAAATATGCTGTAAGACAAAAACAAAGTTGTAATTGTCAAACACTTTGTGAAAATCACGGAGATATTTGAGATGATGCTTTCTAAACTCTTAATAGATACAAGGCCTTTAAGAATATTATGGGGACCAGGTGTAGTGGCTCATGCCTATAAGCCCAACATTTTTGGGAGGCTTAGGTGGGACGATTGCTTGAGCCCTAGAGTTTGAGACCAGCCTATGCAACATAGTGAGACCCCCGTCTCTACAAAAAATAAAAATTTACCCAAGCATTGTGGCACTGGCCTATACTCGTGAGGCTGAGGTGGGAGGATTGCTTGAGCCCAACAGGTCAAGGATGCCATGAGCCATGACTACACCACTGCATTCCAGCCTGGAAGACAAACTGAGACCCTGTTTCTCAAAAAACAAGAAAGAAAAAGAAAAAAAAAAAGAATAGGAACATGCTGACAGATTCTCACTCTAAATAATAAGGCTTGGAAGAATCTTAAAGGTTCTGTTTCACAACATCTGCACAGGGAGTCCATGGAAATGAAAGGCAAATCTCAATGATAATTGTGGTTGTGGCTTTTGTCTGATGGAATAAACCCCCATAACATTCGTAGAAAAATTAGGAATTATATCAGTTTGGACAAAGTGGGACAGTTTAAAATGAAATGATAAAATAACTTTGGATCTCCAAACTTCTATAGATAAGAAGGAGGCTGAAAAAACTACTAATCTATAAACACAGATTTTTATGGAACACAAGTTTATTATAGATAAACTTGTGTTCCATAAAAGAACAGATAGCTGAGAAGATAGAATTCAAAGCCCAAGAGAAGAAATAAGGGTCATGTAAAGTCACTGCCATAAATAGGCTGAACAATAATCAAAGAACTGAAAAGACATGTAACTAGATGACTTTCCGAATTGCTATGGAACAGTCACTGTATTTTTTTTCATCTCTTTTCTGAGTGTATCTATAGGAGTTACATCTTACCTGTCACACCATTATACATTAGCAGGGTGGGTAGAGAAGGGGCAGATAACCTGTCTCTTCAGTTCAAAGGTCTTCCAATTGAAAATTTCAACGGAAAGAATAATACTCAAAGGACCGCACCACAGGAGGAACACCACCACAGGAGCCTCCTCAGCCACAGCTGGACATGATTTAGATGATGAGGTCCTGTATCTCCAACTGAGCCTGATGCTGTAAGTGAATGGGACTTGGGAAAGGGGCCTGGAGAAAAGGAAGGGGAGTTACAATGTTTATTGGAGGATCTGTGCTTTGAAAGCAGGGGCAGACTGCGGCAGATTGTATTTCTACAACTGTATGTCTTGCTGCATATGGTCTTCCAGAGCATTGCCATTCCCCCATCAAGACGTGGAGTCTATCCTGTCTGCTTGCATGTGGGAGAGACTTTACGGTGTCTTGACTAAAGGAATATGGCAGAATCATTCTATGTGACTTTTATGATTAGGTCAAAGAAACACCACCACTTCCACCTGGCTCACTCTCTTGGGACACATGCTTTTTATAGCTCTGAAATGCCATGTGAAATGCCTCCATTACCCTCAATCCAGCATGCTGGAGAGGCCGTATGGGAAAATAACATCCAAAAAGGCGAAGATGCCCAAGAAGCACCAACTATTTTAGCCCTCACTGTTCAAGACTTTCAAGCCTACATACTAGACATGTGACAGAAGAAATGTTTTATATGATCTAAGCACCAGCCAATTTCTGACTGCAACCTCGAGATACCCTGAGCTAGAAGTATCCAGCTGAGCTGCTGCTTGCAAGTTCCTGACCCATAGAACTATCTGATATAATTAAGTGATGGTTAGTGTTTTAAACCACTAAATGTTGGGGTGATTCATTATACAGCAACAGTATCTGAAACGCTCAGTAAATTACACACCATAGTATTGGCTCTTGAATAGAGGATTAGACTAATTGAACAAAGTTGAAAAGTAGGAAATAGAACAATTTTTATATTTGCAATTTATATGTAAAAGTACTTGTCTTGCCAGGTAGTAGACAATTAAATGATTATTCAATAATGCGATGAGAAAATTATTTTCATGATAAGAAAGCGACGTGTATCTCTACCTCACACCATACCTGAAAACTCAAACCTTATGTGGAATGAAGAGAACGGACAAGTTAGTGTGAAAAGAAAAACTTTAAACTTTTAGAGAAAATTATCTTTATATAAAACTCAGGGCAGGAGAGGACTTTGAGAAGCATGTACAGAGGACAAGAGGACTTTGTTCCTGAGTTTAGCTTCCTCATCTCTGCATCATGGCTTGGACGGCGAATCCCTGATCCCACTGTGATCACTCCAGTATCCAGATGCCAGATTCCCCAGTTCCAATGATTATGAAGTTCTAATTCCTGCTATTAGATTCCTTTCTTACTAAAAAATCTACAGCACTTTTTATTTCCTTCACCAAAGAATAAATACAATTTTATGGCTTATTTTTTGCTCAATATGTGTTGAATAACTGGAAGCATTAATATTGCTCAGTGCATTAAGTAAATCTATTATAAACCGAGGAAAGGCAAAAGAAAAATAATATCAACTTTTTACCTTAATATAGATGCTGTAGGTTGACTTCATCCTCGCAATATGTAATGCCAGAGCCTTTAAAAATTATCTTTGTAATACAGTATTAGTTCTCTAAACGTACTCTAGAGCAACTCTAAACAGAGAAGACACCTTTGATGTATCACTTCAGTCAGTGAGAACATGTAGTTCACACAGATTCTGAAAGCCACTTATTGTGGAAAACAGAAGAATCCATTCCAAAAATGTTTAACATTCACTGTGTTTTTTTTTAAGTCCACCTAGAGAGTTTAATGTAGGTAGATTCTGTGGGCTCTACTGTTACATGAGTGACTTAACACATATTTCAACTATTGGAGGAGGCCAGTTGATCTAGATATACAGAACAATTTTCCTGTTCAAAAGTTAATCAAAACATACAAAAACAACTATACGCTATCTGGACATCTTAACTCCATCACAGTATAAAATTAACAAAATTTGTTTCTTTATAACAAAGTAGATTTGGCATCAACTATCAACATATCTATGAAACTTTGAATTCATTAATTTGACATTTATTTTTACTGTTAGATTAATATTCTTTTAACAGTCTGAATTTGCAAGTTTAAAATATCATTCCCTCTGACTAAAGGTAACTAATTTTTTAGGTTACATTTATATGTGCCAGGAAGGTATCATAGCCCATAAATAAGAATAGATTTTTGATGTTGTCACCACAAAAAAAAATAATTAAAAAAACTATGTTGGGGAGGTGATATATTCATTAGACTGAATAAATCTTTCTATAATATATACATAGATCAGAACATCACATTGTACTCCATAAATATACCCAATATTGTCAACTTAAAACAAAAAAAGAAAAATAAATGATTTTTAAAATTAAAAAGATCTTTAAATACAACTAAATATTGTTATCTACCAAAGAATCTTAACACAGTATGATTAAAAAAACAGTATACACTGTTAAATCTATGCAATTACCTTGGTCTGTAATGGGCATAACATATTGTATGTAGATAAATATTAATTTATATGACTGCTTCAGAATAAGTAAGCTAAGTAACTAAAGGGGAATGATTACAGAAATTGTAATCAGATAGGATAGTGAAATTATTCCTTGCTTCGGTGAAAGAATGAATATCATATTTTCATGAGGGATACAGCCCTTTTTCAGCTAAGCTTACTTTTTCACTCCAAAGTTTCCTCATGGCACTTTTCATTTCTGCATTCCTCAGGGTATAGATTAGTGGGTTCAACATGGGAGTTATAAAAGTTAAAACCACAGTCATGGATTTATCAATGGGAAAGGTGGAATTGGGCCTTGCAAACAGGAAGATGCAGGGGACAAAGAATAAAATGACCACAGTGATGTGGGACGCACAGGTGTAGAAAGCTTTGCGTTTCCCTTCCAAACTCTGAGTCTTAAGAGAGTGTAATATGACCCCATAGGAAAGTAGGAGAGTAAAGAAGGCGACAGTACAAATCGCTCCTCCATTAGCTACCATAGAAAGTCCAATGACATAGGTATTGGTGCAAGCAAGTTTCAATAAGGGATACAAATCACACAGGAAGTTGTCAATGACATTGGGGCCACAGAAAGGGAGCTGATAAATAAAGAGAAATTGAACCAATGAGTGAAGAAAGCCTCCAATCCAGGCCACCAACAGCATGAGAACACAGACTCGACGATTCATGATGCTCAAATAATGAAGAGGCTTACAGATAGCCACGTATCGGTCATAGGCCATCACCACCAGAAGAATGACTTCAGCACCGGCAAATAAATGATCCATAAAAAGTTGAGCCATACAGCCCTGAAAGGAAATGGTCTTTCTTTCAGAGAGCAAGTCAACAATCATTTTGGGAGCAATGGCTGTGGAATAGATGGTATCTATAAATGATAAAGAAGCCAGAAAAAAGTACATGGGGGATCCCAGGGACTGGCTGGCCATGATGGTCACCATGATAATCAGGTTGCCCATTATCGTCACAATGTAGATGAGTAAGAATGTGACAAATAAAACTTTTTGGCCCTCAGGGTTCTGTGTGAGTCCCAAGAGGATGAATTCAGTCACATTGTTCTTATTGTTCCTATTTTCCATGTATTCTTCTGAAGGTATTGGACTCAGGTGTCAGAGCCTATAAACAAAAGGGTCAATGATAAATTTGAGATTATTTGTCAGAAGCTCCATCTCAAAAATGTGATGCCTTACTCTACCATGTTTTCCCTGACCAGGACCTCACACAGGTCAGCTCGTTAGAAAAGGAGTGTTTAGAATATTCTTCCACAATTATCCTTTTCATTTTTATAAATGGGTCATGGATGAAGCTGGAAACCATCATTCTCAGCAAACTATCACAAGAACAGAAAACAAAACACTACATGTTCTCACTCATAAGTGGGAGTTGAACAAGGAGATCACATGGACACAGGGAGGGGAACATCACACACCAGGGCCTGTTGGGGAGTGGGGAGCTAGGGAAGGGATAGCATTAGGAGAATTACCTTATGTAGGCAATGGGTTGATTGGTGCAGCAAACCAATGTGGCACATGTGTACCTATGTAACAAAACTGCACGTCCTGCACATGTACTCCAGAACTTAAAGTATAATTTTTAAAAAAGGATTTAAAAAATACAAATGTATTGCTTTAACCGCAATGATGAGGCTTCATGGTTTTAACTGGAAGGTATATGTGAGTGAATATATAGTGATGCTCATTTGTGATGGTCAGGAGATTTTTCTATCCTTTATGCATCAAAGCAAGCCAAGACATATTTAAGGGTCAGAGGGAGAGTAAAAGCATAGACATAAATAAAATAAGAGATAACTTAGTAAAGGCATATGGAAATAAGTAAAGGCCATAAGCTGAATGAAATATTGGTAAGCATTTTGGTTGAGAGTCCTGAATGAGTTGTGAATAGAAGATTATCAGATCCCCAGAGCTGTCAATCAGGAGGTGGCCTGGAAGCTAACTCAGCATCAGTGTCAGCACTTACTTCTAGGAATCTTTATACATTTGGGCCAAAGAAAAATTTAAAAAATCAGATTTTAAACTTTAGGATAGGTCAGTAGATAAGATTAGCTTTCTTGGAAGTTCCATCTTTGAGGCTTCTGATATTTTGTTGCATATATACATAATTAAATACCTTTACTGACATTTATAAAACTATTCTGCATTTATAATGGAAAAATAAGTACTCACAACTTACAGGAGCTACCTGAGCATTCAGGAGATAACCTCCAGTAGGACAGTCTCCCCTGTTGACAGTTTGTTCTTATAACACTTATTTATTTCAAGTACTCAATAGACATTTCACTTATTAAAATGTTCTTTGGAGCATTACTGTTATTCTACACTATTGAAAATTATCACTTTGGATGATTCAAAATTCTGTATTTTATCAGTATTATATTTTATGAAAACATATATATCTGATTCAAACATTTGTAAGATCCTTCAAATTTCTTAACATATTCAATAAGAATGAGTAAATCATTAAGAAATACTCAGAAAATGTGAATCCATGATAGGTATTCCACAGTAACAATTTTTACAAAATATAAAAACTTGTATTCTGAAAAATCTAGCTACTAGGTAAATTTATGCACCTACACATACACCTTAATAGAAAGAGTAATTTCGTGTCCATGGAAAAAGAGGTTATAAATTTCTTAGGTACAAGATCTATAGAAACTTAGGGAAAATGCCAACATCAATTTCTGCCTGAGTTAATTACGTGAATATGTCCCTATTTTTAGAGTTTTAAAATCGTAGTGAGTAAAACTGGACACATCCTGTTTTGTACCCAATTGATCCCCTAATCTACAAAAAGGTACTTCAGAATAAATTAATTTTAATGATACATGTCAAAGAGCTATGGAGAAAGACAGATGGTGAATTTTCACATGGTAATGTCAATGTTATTTGGGGCATATGCACAAAAGAATAGAAATCACAGACTGAAAAAAATATTTGGACACTGATGTTCGTAGCAGAATTATTTACAATAGCCAAAAATGGAAACAACTTAAATGCCCATCAATTAATGAATGAATAAACGAACTGTAGTATATACATACAAGGGGATATCATTCAACCTTAAAAAAAAAAGCAATGGAACTGTGATAATGCTATAACATGGGTGAACCTTGAAGACATACTAAGCCAGACACAAAATGACAAATACGTTATGATCTCACGTTTACAAGACACCTAGAATCGTCATATTCATAGACACGGAATGTACAACAGTGGATACCAGGAGCTAAGGGGAAGGGGTAAGAAAAAATTATTGTTTCATGGGTATGGAGTTTCAGTTTAGGATGATGAAAAGGTTTTGGAGATGGGCAGTGATGATAGTTGCACAACAATGTGTTATGTATATTTTACCACAATAAAAAATAACAACACAAATAAAACATCAGCACAGAACCAGGACATTTAAAAATACTATATACAAGGTAAAAAAATATAAAGAACTATAGTAATCCTTACTATTATTATCAATGTATTAAGATATAAGATAAATAATTGTTGCATTCTCTAAATTACATAAAACAATCTAAATGAAGCCATTATAAATAATAAATATAGTCACGTTATATTGTTTTGTTGTGCTATGCATTTTCTGTATTTCAATATGTCATTAAACAATTCTAATTAAAAATTTAGGGAAAATTATTGCCATTGTATTTATTCTATTATTATACTATAAAATGAAGAAAATGTGTAAGTTGTCTTATTCTTGGAGGTTCTGGCATAAAACGCTTGAGATTAAGTGATAAAACCTACTTCTTACAAAAGATGTATAACTCATTCAAACAAAATCTATTTTATCCCTATCATAATAGCAGTGAAAAATTTTTTGTAAATGTGTTACCTTGGTTTTCTATTTCCTCCTTGGTCACTTGTTCCAAATCCAGGCTTCTACAGTTTTTTCTTTGGTCCTAGAAGATGACTGCCTAGTTTGATGAAAATAAGTCAGGATTGAAACCCTATGAATCCAGGCGTGACTGCAAAGAAAAGAAGAGGGCAAACGGTCACTAAAGTTGCAAATGCTTTGTCACACAGGGATGTATCTCCTTTTGCCTGAACAAAGCATGATCATCTTCTCCAAATTTCGTAAATTTTCATTCGGACTATGGGATTATCCAGAGTTGGTTTCAGGAATAAACAGTTGATATGACTGATGAATCACCAAATTGAAAAGATGTCATTGAGAAATGTACATATCAAAGTTAAAGAAATTTAAAAGCTCCTTATTATGTTTACTGACCTCATTGATTGAACGAACCTTTTATAACTTCCATAGTCAATAGTGCACAAAGATAATCTAGAAACTTGGCTCGGTTTTGAATATTTTGAAAGCACTCATACGTTCATATGACTGCTTTAGTATGGTTCATGTCCAGTAAGGTAACGGCTTTTATTTTATATTTTGACAGTAACATTAATATCTGAGGAGAAACCTTCTCCCAGGTAAGAGAAGATATGACTTAACAATAAACAAAAAATATTTCACTGAGTTGTTCAAACTGTTTGTCCCCACGGCTGCTCATTCAGTATTAATTCACTGAGGAATCACGCCCCAGAGAAAAGAGCCCTTCCACATGATCTTTCCAGGGTATGCTATATTTTTAGAAGTTTCTCCTGGACAATTACTTTTAAGTGCGAAAAAAGTAGCATTGTAGTATCAAAGAGCAAGTCCCTTATTAAAACACAAAGACATAAAGTTGCATGAGCAAGATTAACTTGTTTCTGATTTATGAGTATACAGTTGAAATTCTCAACTCTAAGAAAGCACCAGAGTAAAATGGAAAGCTTAAGGCTTTGTGTGTGGCAAACATACTTAATGAGAATAGCAAAGAGCGTTGATAATCAACTTACTAAAAGTTTCAATCCAACTCAGATGAGATAACATTCACATATCAAACCCAACTCAGAAATTTTGCCCAGAGAGGGGAAAATTTATGCATCTCTTAAAAAGAAATATAGAAACAAGTAATTAGGACCTATAATTTTAAAATGATTATTATGAAGATAAGAGAGAAGAAAATTAAATATGGAAATATTTGACACTTGATATTCAGATGTCTTTTATATAACAATGGCAGCTCCTGAAATCAAAATCTCTCTATACATCCTCCAAAACAATTCAATGCATACAGCACAGCAAGTACATAATATCACACATAACTAGGACATTCAGCATAACTGACACTGAGAATACTATGAATCCCAAATTACCTCTAAATAGAGAAATAAACATCAAATCCCAGCAGAGAGATCTCTGCAGCTCCAAACAGAGAGAAAGGTAAGGGAACCTGAAAAGACTGTAGAGAACAGGAGAGGGAACTAGGAAGCCTAAGGGAGACGGAGCACAGCCAGAATCACCCACAAAAGTGTAAGTCACACCCATTTAAAATCATTAATGAAAGAGGTTTGATGTCTGATGAAGCAGGATGTTGAGCAGAGGGAAAGAATGAAAATATGCAGGACCTACGATGGTATTCTCCTATTCTCCAAAAGGCATCACTTCTGGAAGAGATGAGGATAAGTAGCAAGGAAATGTACTCTTGGGAGACCTCACGATAAAGAAAAGAAAAGAAGTAAAAAGAGGAAGTTAAAGTCCTGAGGAAACAAAGAAGCATGACAAAATCTGAAGGTACTTTAATTCTTCCTTCCTCACTTAAATTTCACTATGCTGAAAAAAATATAAAAAAGGCACCTATGAACTAGAAATCTTTGAAGACACCCCAAAACCTTAACTCTTACTCTATCTATACAGAGGCCTGGTAAGAAGAAACCACAAAAAGAGAACCTTAACATTTCAATTCATTACCCCCTCTGAGAGAACCAAGAGCAAAGAACATTTACAAACATGTGTAGGTTGGGTTTCCAAAAAAAAAAAAAATCATTTCTGCTAGATTTGTGTGCAGGATTTGTTGGTGAGTGCTCAAGGGAATAACACCTGTAACAAAACACTGGACAGAGAGAGACATTAACACGAACGTAATTGCATCAAAGGCCAGTATTATAGGAAACTTTAAGGTAGGGGTGGCCTCAAAGATATCCTAATCAAGGTAAACAGGTTGAACCTTTGTACCCTTAATTCCATTTGTAATTTGATGCAGGCAAAGATAAGCTAGGATGTAGCATGCCTGACATGTATGGATAAGTTTAGTTTCAAAATAAGGAAATTATCAGACTCAGGTTGGAAGATATTCTGCAAAGCAAGTGGGAGATGTTCCTCAAAATGTTAATGTAAGAAAAAGTTAAAGAAGTACTAAAAAGCTGTTCAGGTTAAAATAAAGTGAAATAGCAACTAAATTTAATGTATGATCCCAGATTTGATGCTGAACTCCCCAAAAAATTTCTGTAGAAAACAGTGGGCCCAGAGCGGAGTCACACACCTGTAGTCCCAGCTACTCTGGAGGTTAAGGCAGGAAGATTGTGCGTTCAAGCTCAGCCTTGGCAAAATAGTGATACCCTGTCTCCAAAGGAAAAAAAATAGTAAAAAGAAAACATTATTGTAGAGATCTTCCACCTCTCTGGTTAGCTGTATTCCTAGGTATTTTATTCTGTTTGTGGCAATTATGATGAGATTGCATTCCTGATTTGGTTCTTGGCTTGATTGTTGCTGGTGTACAGGAATGCTAGTGATTTTTGTACATTCATTTTGTATCCTGAGACTTTGCTGAAGTTGTTTATCAGATCAAGGCGCTTTTGGGCCAAGACTATGGGGCTTTCTAAATACAGAATTACGCTGTCTGCAAACATAGTTTAAGTTCCTCTCTTCCTATTTTCTTTTACTTAATCTAACTATATTTAAGTTTTTACACCAGTTTTTTTTTTACAGCAATTCTCATCTCCAAATTTCTTAGTGTGTATATGAACAGATTCAACATGAGTGTGTGTTAACTGTATAAAACACAGTCATGAATTTATAATAGGAAAGTTTAAAACAGGTCTAACATATATGAAAATACAGGGAACAAAAAAGAGGACAACCACGGCAATGTGGGAGACGCAGGTAGACAGGGCTTTACGCCTCCCTTCCTGACTGTAAGTTTTAAGGGAGTTTAGGATGACTCCATAAGAGATTAGTAGAAGGGTGAAGTTGACCATACAGGTTGCTCCACCACTGGAAACCACAGTGAGGCCTAGAAAGTAGGTATCAGTGCACGTCAGCTCCAGTCATGTCTAAATGTCACAGACAAAGTGGTCAATGACACTGGGGCCACAGAATGGGAGACTATACACAACTGCAATTTGAAACACGGAATGTACAAAACCTCCAGTCACAGCCACCACCAAGAGAAGGATGCAAACCTGTCGATTCATGATGGTCAAATAGTGCAGTGGCTTACAGATGGCCACATAGCGATCACAGGCCATCAACACCTGAAGGAAGATGTCAGTACCACCAAATGAGTGGTCTATAAATAACTGGCCCGTGCAAACTGGGAAGGAAATAGTCTTTTTATCACAGAGTAAGTCCACAATCAATATGGGAGAAATGGTGGTGGAATACACAGCATCTATAAATGACAGGCAGGCAAGGAAGAAGTACACTGGGGAGCCCAAGGAGGGGCTGGCAATAATAGTCACAATAAGCAGGTTTCCCACCATAGTCACAGTGTATATGAGTAAAAACATCACAAATAATGCATTTTGCACATCAGGATCCTGAGTTGGGCCAAGGAGGACAAATCCTGTAACATTGTTACTCAGTCCTATTTAGTATTCTTTAAAGCTTGTGTCGCAGTTGAGAACTCAGGAGAACAGGACGTGTAATGAAATAGTGAAGAGGAATATGATTACATCCATGATGTCACAGAGCACATCTTCATTGTTGTATCCTCAACAGTGATTTACACAGATGATAAATATTTTGTAAGTCTCTACTGAGTTCATCTCAAAGATTTTATTGTGAGCCCACAGGCAGACTTTCTGCTTCTAACTTTTAGTGAATATTCTGTATAGAAGATGAGTGAAAGGCCCAACAGCCATTCATATATTTTATAACTCCTGATTTAAAACATATTTCTTAGCACAGAAGTCAGCTATGATTACAGGCAACAGACTATTGGTCTCAGGAAAGTTACTTTCTCATGATGGTAATAAACTCTAAATAAATTAACGAAGACTCAGTGCTTTGAGTTTGTAGTTGTGATGTCTTTACTGTATGTTCTGTGTAGCATAGAAAATAACATCTTCTAAGATATCTCACTCAGTACTATGGCATTCCACAGTTACACGTTCAGTCCTTCATGCCTCGAAAGATGTTCAGTCTTTATAAATATCTCATTAAATGTCAAGAGACTGGACATTAACCTGTAAAAATAGTAAAGTCCTATTTATCACATTATTCGCTGTAGCAATTACTTGGTCTGACCCTCTGTTTGCCTTATAAGAAGCTGTACATCTCTGCATCTTATCCTTACCTATTCTACAATTTTTTAATCGTATAAACATACAGTATCCTGATTTTCAGCAAATAATTTTGAACTCAAGAAAACTAACTGATGGCTATCACCAACTGCCACATTAGCTGTATTTTTTTCCAGATTCTTCAGGTGAACTAGATAATGAGACAGGAGAAAATAGACAGTGTAGAAAGAGTTACAGAACAGTGGTAAATGGTTTTATTTATAACACTATTTAGATACTGAGAGTACTCAAAAATAGAACCTTAGTGTCCAGATTCAAAAAAAAAAAAAAACATACTCAAAGAGAAATTCTAAGTTCACTGGAAGATGACATCAATTTGATTCATTTTCTGAATGCATTTACATGTCTGTCTCAGTTTGCTCACTGGAAAACAATGTGATTAAATTAAGTGAACTGAGAATCCTTTCTAGTCAACCATCTACAAAACTATTAGTGCACCTGTCCCTTATTCTATTCTGCTTTTGTTCATTTTTCATATATTTATAATTAAATGGCAATTTCCAAGCTCATGACTGTTGCATGAATAATGGCGGTCAGTGGTAAATGTTTCATGAGTAGC